CTCTCAGGTGATTTGCTGTTGAAAACTTCCGATCGCCGTGAGGCATAAATTATCTTAAGATTTTTCTTCATGCATATCAGTATCCCAAACTCCTCGGTCTTTAGAGGCGTACTTTAAAACTTTCGGCTAATGTTTCGGCGCTCACCTGGCACTGAACACTTTTCAAAGCGTCCCTGGATGACGACGCGGCGAGTAAAAGAAAAACTGCCCCGGTGATTAGTCCAAAGGGGGATGCCTTACAATAAATGTGTAGACACATGCCCTCTTCCCTGACAGGACCCTTCTCCTGTGACTGTCTGATCCGCATGCAGGGGGATTAAATTAATGTCAGCAATTCAGCAGCTTCGGCTGTGAGAAGTGGGGCGGTGTCATTGTTAAGAAAAGGGAAATACTTGTACATTGAATAAGGGAACATGGCAGCTCTCCCTGCTCCGGCAACGCATGAGATAACTGTGCGTGCGCCGACACAGTACCCAGATGATTTCCGCCTCCCCGGGGTGCTCGTGCCAAACGCTGAGTTCTTCTACATCTACGATATCCACAAATCTGGTGTCAAAGCCACGCCTGTGCGCTGAGAACCAGAGTCACTAAGAACGGTATTTGTGCGTCTCTGTGAGGCTGTTATCAGCAGCAGAGTTACTGCGGTGCACACAGGCTGAGGCGTGTTCCAAGACACGATTTTGTCGTCTCGGATGGTTTAAATGCCCGATCCGCTAAGAGTGGTGCTGCTGCGGGCGAATTCCCGACTGTGGCACAGTAGAAAACCACTCAGGAAACCATGAAGAACTTGTAAATTTCACGGCGTTTGACCGTGTGGCCTGTTTCCGGTACTCCCGAGGCGGTACCTGGTCCCTTAAGTATTGCCCCGCTCCAGCGCCCGAAACCAGCTTTCGTGAAGTGTCAAAACCTGTTCAGGCCACATGGTCTCGAAGACTATTCGAAATACGAGTCATGGAAAGGAAAAAAAGCGCCAACCTTCTCACATATTTCGTCGTTACTCTAGACTTCCATCTGGCTGCCCCAAGCAGCAGCCTCTGAGATGTCATCAGTTGCAGGCAGCTGAATTGAAGTGGAACACATTTTCTGGAGTCCCTTCAAGGAGGTACTCGGCCACTGTAGACATCTGCGCAAGGACTGAATCCCTGAGATCCGAATTTCGGGGACCTGCCTCGTGAGATCACCTGCTCTGTTCGGCATAACAGCAACGAATTTCGCACTTAAGTTGGTTGAATTGTGGGTGCTCCTCATCTTCCAGTGATACCGAGAGGCTGTGCCCAATTCTGATGACTAAGCAGTCCCATAGTCGGTCAGTAAACAAAAGAGCTTGGTTGGAATCTAGAAGTGCCGTTCAATAATATTATTTGATCCGCCACACAGATCTCCGACCCAAATTCGGCAGGCAGAGGCCATCCGTACGGAATGGGACAACGCCGTGGCTTGGTCGATCTTGAAGAAAGACGACAGATCACTGTATAAGAACCACCTCGGCATAAGTCTTATCGATAGTACTGTAAAAGTTCACGCGGACGCCCTTCGTAACCAATTTAGCTGGTATCGCAGTACTTTAACAGGAAAGGAGCAGCACGACTTTCAAACGTAGTGGGGATTCACTGGTCAGAACTTTTCACTTCATTGGACCCTGCCCCCTCCTCACCCCCCAGCACCGTCAAACTCGTTTATTTCGTGGACTGTATCATTGTTTTCGATTGTATGCAGCGGCGTTTACTGTGGTCTATCAAACTGCAAAACGACATGCCACCAAAATCACTACGAGTGATGAAGGGTTGCTATCGCAGAAAAAGATCCGGCAGTTTGAGAGCGGTGACGTTCGCTGACTGCCCCACGGAGTGGACGCAGCAAGGGTGATTTGCGTTTATTGTGGGGCGGACTGGCGAAGCGTCTATCTGGCTCCAATGCGTCGTGGCTTTCGACGTGTCTCTTGCCGAACATCGACATAACAGCATTCTGTATTGCCGTGTCCGACACGATGTCTTACGCGTAGAGAAAGCGAACTACAGAAACTGAGACTTGAACTGTCCTCGAAAATTGTTAATGCTACTTTCAAAAGAAAGCATATTCCTCTCTCCGTCTCTCTCTCTCTCTCTCTCTCTCTCTCTCAGCCTTCGCACATCCCCTCCCCCCACCTTCATCCGTGAAGCACACCCCAAAAAACCACGACTGTCGACAAAGAGTAGACCTGCTTTTTTCATTGATTTTTAACATTTGCTCAAACGCAACAAAAGGTAACTGTAAAATAACAGGGGTTGGAGACGGAAGTCTATAAATGAGGCAGGTGGATTTGCAAAAGAACAGGGTGGGGAAGGGGGCTCATTGGATTGAAATGACATCACCCGGCCTGGGAAACCGCCGACAGCCTGGCAATAGCGGCCCCGCAGGCAAGACAGCGAGCCCGTGGCTCAGTGATAAGAGGCGTTGGACTTCTGACTAACAGATCGCGAGTTCGAGCCCCGGGTGTTTCACACTTCGAGGTTGGGTATGACGGGCTGGCGACGGCTAATAAGCTAGAAATGACCACTCCAGTCTTCCTTGTTTATGTCCGTAATACCAGTCTGCCTAATTCAGTCTGTGTTTCGACTGTGAGCCCCTCTCACTCCTGAGTCCCTAGACAAGCTCCCCAACAAGATATCGTCTTTCTAGGTACCTCAAATCTCTCATTCTCCCTTCATATTGAAACCCTTTGCATTAAAATTCACAAGCTCATTTACTACATTCATCGTTTAAGTCGATATTATAGTACAACGGCATTTCGCAAACGGTTCAGGCAACTTATTGATCGGCTTCTGAATGATGTTGTCCACCCTCTTCATTCTGAGCCAACTGCTGTGAAGTCCTCCCGCCCCCTGCGCCGTGGCTTTCAAAGCATCTCTTGCTCAACATCGACGCATCAGCGTGCTGTATTTCCGTGTCTGACACAATGTCTTACGCGTAAAGAAAGCGAACAACAGAAACTGAGACTTGAACTCTCCTCGAAAA